GCGCAATCTCGGCTCACCGCAACCTCCGCCTCCTGGGTTCAGGCAATTCTCCTGCTTCAGCCTGCTGAGTAGCTGGGATTACAGGCACCCACCACCATGCCCAGCTAATGTTTTGTATTTTTAGTAGAGACGGGGTTTCACCATGTTGACCAGGATGGTCTCGATCTGTTGACCTCGTGATCCACCCGCCTCGGCCTCCCAAAGTGCTGGGATTACAGGCTTGAGCCACCGCGCCCGGACCAGATTGAGTATTTTTTATTGTCATTTATATGTCCTCTTTTGTGAAGTGTCTGTTCCATCTTTGTATCCGGTTTTCATTGATATGCTTGTTTTCTGTTGATTTGTAATACTTTATTCTGGATATGTGTCATTTCTAGAATATATATGTATTGCATTTCTCTTTTTTCAAACTGGAGCTTGCATTTTCACTCTTTTAATGGTGTTTTTACATGAATGGAGATTCTCTTAATTGTTTTTTTTCTTTTTGAGACAGGATCTCACTCTGCGGTCCAGGCTGAGTGCAGTGGCAGAATCACAGCTCAGTGCAACCTGGACCTCCCAAGGCTCAGGTGATGCTCCTGCCTGAGACCCCAAGTAGCTGGGACCTACAGGGGAGCACCATTATGCTCAGCTCTGTTTTGTATTTTTAGTAGAGATGAGGTTTTGCCACGTTGCATAGGCTGGTCTGGAATTCCTCAGCTTAAGTGCTACACTTCCTTGGCCTCCCAAAGTATTGGGATTACAGGCGTGAGCCACTGCACCCAGGCTGAGTTTCTTAATTTTAATAAAATTATACTTGACCAATCTTTTCCTTTATGGTGACTGCTTTTTGTGTCCTGTTTAAGACATCAATGCCTAACCTACGAATACGAACACATTTTTCTGTGTCAGCCTTACAGCAATTTTATTTTAGTTTATGCATTTATTTTTCAGACAGGGTCTCACTCTGCTGCCCAGTCTGGAGTGTGGTGGCATGATCTCAGCTCACTGCAGCCTCCACCTCCTGGCTCAAGTGATCCTCTCACCTCAGCCTCCTGAGTAGCTGTGACTATAGGCATGTGCCACCATTGTCTGGCTAATTTTTGTATTTTTTGCAGAGATGAGGATTCAACATGTTTCCCAGGTTGGTCTCGAACTCTTGGGTTCAAATAGTCTGCCCATTTTAGCCTCCCAGAGTGCTGGGATTACAGGTATGAGCCACCCCACCTGGCCATGATTCACTTTTTACTACATGGATGTGACTACTTGATCCAGCACTATGTATTGAAAAGACCATCCTTGCCCTTCTATACTGTTGGGCACTTTTTTTCATAAATTGGATGGTGATATGGTCATTTGATTTATGGTATTAGTGTGGGTCTGTTTCTGGACCAATCTGGGCAACACAGCGAGATCCCGTCTCTACAAAATAAAATAAAATAAATGATTTTTAGAAAGTGGGTAGAGCAGATGGAGTCATAGGTCATAATTTATAAATGTTTGTCAATTTCTTGGCTACATACAGGTGTTGGTAAGTCAGATCTGTTGGGCATTCAGGCAAAATGCATTAAGTGAATTATATGGTGTTCAGAATGGTTGCTAGATGTTCATTGTGACTTGAATTTGATGTTATTTGGGACTTACAGAGTTACAGGTCTGACTCTTTTATTTGTCTTTTTAAAATGTTTACAATTTTCCTGTCAAGGCAGTAACTCTTTTCTTCTTAATTGTTCTTAAGTGTCCTTAATTACTAAGAAAACTTTAGGGATCAATACCTAAATAAGTGTTAAGCCATTTAAAGGGCTGATGTGATGTGATGTAGACAATAGTATTCTACATAATAGTTTCAGGACTACATTGATTAAATTGTTTCTTAAAAATTTTTTTTTTTCTTGAACAGGGTCTCGCTCTGTTGCCCAGGCTGGAGTGCAGTGGTGCAGTGGTATGCTCATGGCTCACTGTAGCTTTGAGCTCTCAGGCTTAAGCAGTCCTTCCACCTCATCCTCCTTAGTAGCTGGGACTACAGGCATGCACCACCATGCCCGGCTCATTTTTTATTTTTTGTATACAGGGTCTTTCTTCCTATGGCACCCAGACTGGCTTCAAACTCCTGGGCTCAAACGATCCTCCCACCTTGGCATCCCAAAGTGTTGGTGTTACAGTTGTGAGCCATCACACCTGGCCATTTTAGTTTTAATAACTTTTTAATGTTCCTAGTTTAAAATATTTATTAAAATTGATTATGAATATGGTATTATTGTTATGATTATTTTGTATGTGTTTAATTTCATTTTCAGTATAAGCTCTTGGAGATTAGAAATCTTATCCCTTATTCACTACTGTATTCTCAGTACTTGACCTTGCCTGGTATGAAACAGGATATTGAATAAATATTTGTTAGATGAATGAATGAATGAACATACTGATACCACATTCAACAATTCTCCAAGTATCACAGCCTTCACCATTTAACAAATAAAATAGCTTGTATAGAGAAGAGCCGCAGTCAACCTGCCATAAAAGAAATGTCGATGAAAATCAACTTTTGTATGTGTAGCTGCTAAGATTTGGGGGCTTTTGTTACTGCAGCATGAACTAGCAAAGCTCAGTGAGACAGCAGATAGAATATACATATATAAATATACCAGATAGACCAGTAGATGAGATTCCAAAGATAGTTCAATCAGCATTAACTAACTACACCCACACTCTCCTCCTAACAGAAGGAATGGAATTCCTGTTCACTGAGATCTGCCTCAAATAGTACTTTGTGAAAAGTAAGCACTTTCTCTGGCTACTCAAGTCATCAGTCAGGACTCTTATTTCCCGCCCCCCCCCCCCAGGTTGGAGTGTGGTGGTGCCATCATAGCTCATTGTAACCTCTAACTCAAGGCTCAAGGAATCCTCCTGCCTCAGCCTCCAGAGTAGCTGAGACCACAAGTGTGCGCCACCATGCCCAGCTAATTGTTTATTGTTTATTTTCAGAGACAGGGTCTTACTGTGTTCCCCAGGCTGGTCAGGACTGTTGATTGCGTGTGACAGAAACCAACCAACTCTAGTTCCCGCCCCCTTTCAATCTGCTCCCTTCTTCGTCTTCCCAGTCTCAATAAGTGGCAGTTCCATCCTTCAAGTTGCCCAAGCGCTGAATCTCAATGTTAACCTTGATTTCTCTCTTTTGTCATAGCCAATATGAAGGCAAATCATGTTCAGACCCAGGCGAAGTTTCCTGCTGACCGAGGCTCTCACCGGCACGTTGTCCTTTACTGTCCTCCTGAGGGTGTCTGGAGCTTCAGTGCTGTGTGCTCTCCACCTCCATGCTGGGGCACCACCGACTCCCACTGTCCAGGGCTTCCAGTGGACTCTCTGAGGCACTGATGTAGAATCTTCCCCATTCGGTGCACCAAGAGCAGCCTCACATGGTGTGCGCTGACATGAAGAGCTGCCAGATCCAACAGGTAAAAATCCTGAGGTCAGAGAGCCCTCTCTCTATTGTGACTCAGGTGCGAAGGGAAGATGCCATGGACCCTAAACATCGCAGCATGACCAGCGTGTGCCACCACGACCTGCAGTGCATGGTCAGGTGGAAGTTACTTGACTTCAGGAGAGGACAGTGTTCTTTTCAGGCCTTGTCCTCAGTGGCTGTATCTGCGTCCCTCTCCTCTCTCTTCCCCTCTCACCCCCAGTCTCCATCCCCATTTCTCTGTCTGTTTCCACCTTGCTGTTCCCTTTCACCTGCTTTCTCCTCTTCAGCTTTCATGGTTCTCCTGTCCACCCGCATTTCCCAGGCTAAGGCCCCTGCACTGTCTTGGTGGGGAGATGTGTGTGGATTTAGGCGGTGCCCTCTAGATGTGTCCAGGATGGGGAAACATGGCTCAGCTGCCAGTATAATGGTTTCAGAGAGTGGCCACTTTTGAAGGCCTTTCACAGCCCCCATTCTAGAATCGTGTAGGACTTAAAACTGATGGGCCACCGTGGAATTCTTGGTTCCTCAGGACCTTGTGGTGGACACCTTCTTTCACTGAGCATTCACAGGATGGCTACTAGGTGCCAGGCCCTGCTCTGGGCTAGGGGGACCATAATGAGTAAATATCAGGTCACTACCCCATGGAACCCACCACTGCAGGCATCGAGAGGTGGAGAAAGAAAGACCTGTTTGTGTCCTTCTCACGTGGTCACCTGCCAGGTCCTGGGGGGGTGGGAGCCAGTGCAAGGAGAGGAGCCCAGTGAGCAAGGCAAAGGGACGATGTCAGACCCAGGGGCTGAGACCCCCACCTGCAGCTGGGCAGCTTCTGGAGTGGACAAGGAGCAGCAGGAAAGGTCATGGCCTGGTGTTCTGGGGTCCACTGTCCCATCTCATTCCTGTGGGTGTCAGAATTTGTCCAAAGGGAGGACTCAGTGTCTCTGGAAACAGCAGGGTAGAGACAGAATGTGTTTCAGAAAAGGAGGAAGGAATTGTACATCGTGGAAACAGAATATGGTTTTGCAGTAGTGCGTCTCTCTCATAACTAGTTAGCGTGTTCCTGTTAATGGAAAATATTGATGTTGTAAGTTCCCCTGGATCTTCTCATCGTCGTGTAAGTTCATTTGTTCCCCCCTCCCTCCTGTCTTTCCTCCCTCCCCTCCTTCCTTCCTCCCCTTCTTCATTCCTTCCTTCTTTCCTCCCTGCCTCTCTCCCCTCCTTCCTTCCTTCCTTCCTTCCTTCCTTCCTTCCTCCTTCCTTCCTTCCTTCTTTTCTCCCTCCCTCTCTCTCTCCCTCTCTCCCTCCCTCTCTCCCTCCCTCTCTCCCTCCCTCTTTTCTTCCCTCCCTGCTCTCCATCCTTCTCTTTTCTTTTTTTTTTTCTCTCTCTCACTCTCTTTCTTTCTTTTAAACTTTTTGAATAGACCACACTGTACTGAAACCCACATTATTTACCAATATCTCTGGAGCTGCTTCTGTCTTTCAGGCAGGGATGTCATTCTGTATCGCTCAGCCCCTCCCAGCCTCCTTCTCCTTTGATTTGTGGGTGCCCCAGGGGCAGCTGCTGAGTCTCAGGGGTTTCTAGTCTTCATCAAGTTCTGCCCACCTGGATGGTTTGTCCCTGTCCTTACCAGATGCCTGCACTGTCTAGATCACTGAGGCTGCTTCCGCCTAACTGATCTGCTGTCTGTATTCCGAGGGCACTGCAGCAATAGAGGCAAAAGGCACAGGCATCGAAATCTCCAGCTGCTCTGACTCTAGGTTTGTGCACTTCCATGCCAAGTACTAAGCACACAAGAACCGGATGCCACCAAAACCTGATTTGGGTCTGCTGCCTCCTAATTTCAAAAAACTTAATAGATATTATTTTTTAGAGCAGTTCTAGGTTTACAGATAAATGAGTAGATAGTACAGAGAGTTCTCCTAGGCTCCCCTGACTTCCAGCACACAATTTTCCTATTAGTATGTTGTATTAGTGTGGTCCATCTGTTACAATTGATCAACCAATATTGATACATCATTAGTAACTAAAGTTCATAGTTGACATTAGAGTTCATTGTTCGAGTTTTCACAGATTGAGTTTTGACAATTACCTAATGTCGTAAATCCCCAATACAGCATCATGCAAAATAGTTTCACTGCTGAAGACTCCTTGCTTTCACCATTTCAGGCCTCCTCTCCTCCACCCCTGACAACCACTCATCATTTCACTGTTTCTGTCTTTTTGACTTTTCAGGAATGTCCTACAGTTGGAATCATAAAGTATAGAGGTTTCTGACTGGCTTCTTGCTCACACGATGGACTTAAACTTCCTCCATGTCTTTTTGTGGCTTGATGGCTCATTTTAAAAAATCACTGAATTAGATTTCATGGTATGGCTACAACAGTTTGTTTATTCATTCACTTGGTGAAAGACATCTTGGTTCTTCCAAGTTTTGACAATGATGAATAAAATTGCTGTAAGTACTTTTGTGCAGGATTTTGAGTGAACTTCAGTTTTCCCAAGTGACTGTACCATTTTGATTTTCACTAGCTATGGAGAGTTCTGGCTGGTCCTCATCTTTGACAGCATTTGGTGTGTTTACCTTTTTACACTTTAGCCATTCTAATAGGTTTACAGTGATAGCTCGTTGTTTTAATGTGCAATTCCCTAATGACCAATGATTTTGAGGGCTTTGTATATGCTTATGCGCCATCTGCATATTTTATTGGTGATACGCTCAGATCTTTCATCTATTGTTATTATTTTTTTTTTGCCTTGTGTTGTTTAGTTCTCAGAATTCTTCATATATTTTGGACAGCAGTGTTTTATCAGATTATTTTGTAAATGTTTTCGCCAGTCTTTGGCTTGCCTTTTCCATTATCTTCACAGTGTCTTTCACAAAGCAGAAGTTTTTGATTTTCCCGAGGCTGCACTTTATTTTTTTTATTTGTGGATTGTGCTTTTGGATGTTGTATCTAAGAAGTCATCATTGAACCCAAGCTCCCGAGCTCTTCTCCTGTGTGATCTCCTGGGTTTTTCATGGTTTTGCACCTACATTTAGGTGTAAGATTCATTTTATAAAGGGCATAACATGCACACCTAGATTGGTTGATTGATTGATTGATTTTGCATTTGGTTGTCTAGCTGTTCTAGCACCATTGTTTGGAAAGGCTATCTTTGCTGTTTTAAATTTTCTTTAAACCTTTATGAAAGATCAGTGGACTGTATGTAGGCCTGTTTCTGGGCTCTGTATTCTTTTCCATAGATCTTATTTGTATGTTTTTCCTTGTTTCACCAACTTCACGCTGTTTTGGTAAGTCCTGAAGCTGGTAGTACCTTCAGGGTTTTTTTTCTGAACTTCATCATGACAACCCATGTGAATATCATTTAAGTGCTCCTCCCAGTGGCTGGCCCCAGTAGCTTCTCTTCCTGGTGAGCTGTGACTCTGTGTGTTAGCCTGTCTCTCTCAGTTTTAGGATGGCAGTTTTCCCTGTGACCTCACTTCTCTGGTCCAGCCTAGAAGAGCTGACTTTCAGTTTGTTCAGCTTTTCTCTAGCTGTGAGGATAAGTGATGACTCCCTAGCTCTTTCCATGTTGGAGTGGAAACCCAACTGATCATTTCACTGTCTCTACCATTTTGACTTTCCTGGAATGTCCTAGTGTTGGAATCATACAGTGCGTAGAGTCTTTAGACTACTTTCTTCTTAGCATTCTGTATTTAAAGAGCCTCCATGTCTTCTCATGGCCTGATAGCTCATTTCATTTATCACTGAATCATATTCTGTTGTACAGATATACCACAGTTTGTTTAGCCATTCACTTACTGAGGGACATTTTGGTTACTTTCAGTTTTTGATAAGTATGAGTAAAACTGTTTTAAATACTTGGATACAAGTTTTTGAGTGAACATGTTTTCACATTACTTTAGTAAGTATCTAAAACTGCTATTTTCAGGATTATATGGCAAGGCTGTGTTTAGCTTTTCACTTTTTAAAAAGTACCTGCCAAACAGTTTTCCAAAGTGACTAGCGTTTTGCATTTCCACTAGCAGTGAGTGAGAGTTCCCATTGCTCTGCGTCTTTGACAGCCTGTTGTATTGTCACTTGTTTGGATTTGAGCCTTCCTATTAGGTGTATATTATAGTGTAGTGGCATCTCATTGGTTTAATATGCAATTTCCTAGTGACACATGGTTTTGAGCATCTTTTTCATATGCTTATTTGCCATCCATGTATCTTTTCTGGTGAAGTATCCAGATCTGCCCATTTCTAAATTGGGTTTTTTCCTTTTTTATTATTGAGTTTTTAAAGTCCTTTATATATATTGGACACCAGTCTTTCATCAGATCTGTATTTTGCCAATTTTTTCCCCAGTCTATTACATGGTTATTCATTTTCTTAGCGATGTCTTTCACAGAGCAGAAGTTTTTAATTTTTATGAAGTTCAACTTATCAATTTTTTCTTTCCTGGATTGTGCTTTTGGCATTGTATCTGAGAAGTCATCACCAATCCCAAAGTCCCCCAGATTTTCCCCATGTGATCATCCAGGAGTCTTACAGTTTTGCACCTCACAATCAGGTGTAAGATCCATTTTGTGAAAGGTGTAAAATCTGTGCCTCGATTTATTCATTTTCTACATATGGATATCTAATAATTCTAGCACCATGAGAACCTGGTTGGGCTCCTGGTGGTAACACTTAGAAAAGTGTGAGATCCCCACTAAACCTGAGCCCCAGGGAGTTTTGAATGCTCAAGCCAGGCCACCCTCAGCTTCTAGTCATCTGTGAGCACCATTTAAGTGCTCCTCCCAGTTGCTGGCTTCAGCAGCTTCTGTTCCCTGTATTTGCCTGTGTGTCTTGTTTTCAGCATGACAATTTGCCATGTGACCTCTCCTCTAGTCCCTCTAATAAGGGTTGATAATTTTCAGTTTATTCAGCTTTTTTCTTGTTGTGAGGACAAGTGGTGATCTCCTAGCTCCTTACAAATTGGAGTAGAAACCAGGAATTTCATTTAACAAGTTACTTGTAATAGAAGTCACTAATTGTAAATGTAGAATTGAATAATTTAAGTAGATATATAGAATTTTGTAGCCATCACCTCAGTCCCCTCTTAGAATACATTTCTTCCCTCCCCAGATTCCCCAGAGCCTCTTTGCCCTCATTTTCGAATCCCTGGTCACCATGACAGAGCCTGAACAAAATAAAAATTTGGAAAACAGACAACATTACATTTCAGATTTTATTAGATTGGAATTTTATATAATGGATCGTTGTCTTACTCTTGTGGCAACTAGAGGAGATATTTTATTCTAAGGATTTTCTTTGGGGGAACTTAGTAGTAGTCCTGTTTATTGCTGTCCTTGAATTGGTTCATCTGTGCTGGTGTCAGACTGTTGCTATCAAACCTTGTCTGGTGAGCATGAGTGAAAGACCTAAAAGAAAATCTTCTATTAGAAATGCAGATGATGAATTTGCCGATAACGTTATGCCGAGTTAAGTTTTTTTATCAGGCTAAAGTTCAATGGCACGAACTCGGCTCACTGCAACCTCTGCCTCCTGGGTTCAAGCAATTCTCCTGCCTCAGCCTCCTGAGTAGCTGGGATTACAGGCATGCACCACCACACCAAGCTAACTTTGTATTTTTAGTAGAGATAGGGTTTCTCCGTGTTGGTCAGCTGGTCTTGAACTCACAACCTCAGGTGATCTGCCCTCCTCAGCTTCCCAAAGTGCTGGGATTGCAGGCATGAGCCACCATGCTGGAGTGCTATGTGCAATCTCAGCTCACTGCAACTTCTACGTCTAGAGTTCAAGTAATTCTTGTGCCTCAACCTTTCGAGTTGCTGGGATTACAGGCATGCACCACCATACCTAGCTAATTTTGTATTTTTAGTAGAGATGGGGTTTCTCCATGTTGGTCAGGCTGGTCTTGAGCTTCAAATCTCAGGTGATCTACCCACCTTAGCCTCCTAAAGTGCTGGAGTTACATGTGTGAGCCACCACACCTGGCTGGGAGTTAAGTATTTTACCATCTTTTTTCTTTCAGAAATTGGGTTGGTAACATTGAAGAGACACTTCTCACCTGCCTGAAATGCCCTACATTATCTTCTTCAAGTTGCATGGGCTCTGGAGCAGCCCTTTCAATGCTCCCATAAAGGTAAGTGTAACATTTTACTGTAGTTCTTTGCTTTTTTTTTTTTTCTTTTTTGTGCTTATAGGGATTAGCATACATGTATGTGAAAATATAAAAAGAGTACAGATAGGCACCTGTAACTAGTTTCCTGTTGCTACCTGTTAACACATTACAACAAGTTAGTTGTGGGAAACCACAGAAATCGGGAATGATTGGGTTCTCTGATCAGCGTCTTAGGAGGCTGAAATCCAGTTAGGTGCTGCCTGTGTTTTTCATCTAGAGCTCAGGCTACTCTTCCAAGTTCGCTACAGATGTATTGGCAGAATCCATCTTCTTGTGGGTGGAGGACTGACATCCTTTTGCAGTCCTCCTGGCTCTCAGCCAGGAGACACCCTGACTCCAGAGGCCACATGCATTCTTTCTCACTTTCCCCATCTTCCAGCCA